AACTTTAAGTGTAGGAAAATTTGCTTTCCAGCTTTGAGATTTTATCTTGGTTATTGTATTTTACTTGCCAAACTTGGGTTCATATTCATATTCAAAATTGATACACAGGAAAGTTGAGACAAAATGTTTGCTTCTTTTGTGGTTCACTGACTTAATGAACCTTTTGAGGACCATAAACAGGTGATAAGGATAAAATTAGATTCAGAAGAACTATCCAGCAGAAACACCAGGAATATGATTAAGAAGGAGTGTAGTATGTATTAAGGAGAGAGTCCTGGAAGCATCTAGCTACATATAATAAATGAAAGAGTAGTTTTCAGTATTTCCCTTTAGTGAAACTGTTGAAACTGTTACTTGAACTGATAAAAAAAATCATGGAGGTCTCCAAAGGGAAGAAACTTATATCTGTCCCTTGGGTTGGTGATGTCACAAAAATTTTTCGGACATATAGAGATAGAGACTAAGAAAGTTCAAAGGGAATTAAAGAACAAGGCTGCAGGCATAGGAGAATATGCTTCTGTCAGGAGATTGATGGTGAAGACGTGGTTTGGGAGGTTGGTAACTCACCTTAGTATGGTAAACACTTTTATTGGGTTTAGAATCCCAGGTATGCTTTAGTCATTCTTGCTATTACATAGTTTTGACATTAAAAAAATTATTGAGATATTTTACATATTTTATACTAAATCTTTGAAAACTTACATGAATTTTATACTTAGAGCACAGCTTAGCTCACTTTGGTCTAGCCCTATTTTAACAGCTCAATCTCCTTATGGGACTAGCATGTGCCATCTTGGATAGTATGGCTCTAGATTGTGTTGTCTTAGCTTGCTGTCACAACTTGTAATTTCTTAGAGAATATTCCAGTGATCTCCAAGACTATCCTTTGGTTCTCAATCTTAAGGAATTATATGTCTTTACATCAAAGCATTTATCACAGTTGTAAATTGCACTTTTTTTTTTTTTTGCAAATTGTACTTTATACCTCCATCTGGCTTATAGACATGAGCATTTTCCATTGTATTCCTGGTTAGCACTCAACTCACCGCTGATGCCCAATAAATAGTATCTGACTATAGAAACTAGGCAGTTCCTATTATTAGGTAACCTGCATGTGTTTGATTTTTAGTCAGGCACTATGTTTTTTCTAATTTACTTTATTGTGATGATAATATATTAAATATCACTAAATACATCACCTTGTAATGATATTTTCCTTTTTCTGTAAGCTTCTGTATATTTTTTATCCAGTAGGAAGTTTTTAAAACTAAATAAGCTGGATGATGGGCATGCCTATAATCGAAGGTACAGAGGCAGAGAAAGCCTATCGGCCAGCCTAGGCAAAGTTAACAAGGGCTTTGGGTAAACCTCAAGTGGTAGATCGCAGTAGGGAAGGTCCAAGTACAATTCTCAGCACTGCAAGCAAACAAAAAGTGTAAATACATGTTTGAATTGACTTAACAGATTTGATGATAAAATCATCAAAAGTTTCGTACTGTCCTCAAAGCCTGTATAGTTTAATAGAATAGTCACTAACCACAAGCTCAAAGTGAAATATTCTGGATTTGGAAAACCTAAGGAGATAATAGAGGCTTGGAATAAGAATAAAATAACAAACATACTATTCATGATGGTTTTAGTTTATTTATATGCTGAGATTGTAGTATGTTTAATTTATTGGAATTAAGTAAAACATGACGTGGTTACTTTTTCTTTTAATCTGATTACAAAAAACAGAGGGGCTGGAAAAGTGGCTCAGTGGTAAAGTGCTTGCTTTGTATGCATGAGGCCCCACATAAACAGAAAAGACTGGAAGTGGCCCTGTGGCTCAAGTGGCAGAGCACTAGGCTTGAGCTGAAGAGCTGAGGGACAGTGCTCAAGCCCAGAGTTCAGGTCCCACGACGACCAGAAAATAAATAAGTAAATAAACAAAACAGAATTATATAAAAATCATCAAAAGTTAACTTTAAATTAAAACAATATTGTAATTATAAAGGTAATGTTCAGAGGTATTACAGTTACATAAATCAGGTAATGAGTACATTTCTTTTTGGACAATGTCACCCCTTCCTTCACTCCTAGTTTTTTTCCCTTGCCCCCACCTGCAAGTTGTATAGTTCATTTTCAACATAGTTTCTAGTGAGTACTACTGGGTTTAAGTTCTTTGATTATTAAATTTCCTGCTCACATTCATCATAGCATAAGACTGATGTAAATGATTATAATATTAAGGCATTTTTATAATAATAAATATTTTTGCATAGAACTTTTTGAGAAGTTCTGTTTTCTTGCTGTTGTTTTTAACTTTGTTGAGTATGCAACCCAGGGTTGTACACTCACTAGGTAAGCACTACCACTGAACTACATCTCCAGTACTTCAAATATTTCTTTAAAAAGTTTATTTCAAACTCAATAGTTATTAAATCATGTGACCCACAGTATCTAATTACTTAAATTGTTTTGAGCATATTTAAAATAAGCAGAGATTGTGCCATAGTCTTGTATAAGAGAAATTATGTCACCCCCCCCCAGCATAGGTAAGTTTATGCTTTTAAAAAGTAAGACTTAGCTGGGAATGTATGTGACTTAATGGTAGAGTGCTTCCCTAGCATGCATGAAACCCTGGGATCGCTTCTTCAGTACCACATACACAGAAAAAGCCAGAAGTGGCACTGTGGCTCAAGTGGCAGAGTGCTAGCCTTGAACAGAAGTAGCTCAGGGATGGTCAGTAGGCCCCTAAGTTCAAGCCCCAGGACTAGCCAAAAAAAAAAAAAAAGGCGACTGTGAAGCTGATATTTGAATTGTATCTAGAAGGGAGAGCAGATGTCTCTTAAGGGAAGAAGGTGAGGGATGAGCATTTCTCTCAGAGGAAATGGTACTTTGTAATCATTCTTGTAAGGAAGTAGAAGCAAGTCACTCAAACTGACTGCAACATAGTATGTGCAGGATGAGGCAGAGTAAGAAAATGTCAGAAAGAGCAGCTTGATTGTAGAGTCATTTTCATAGTCAGTTTTGTGTTTCTATAGCAGAATATCTGAGCTGGGTAAAAGATTTGGCATCGCATGGTGGGAGTGTGTTGGAGAGTGGTAAGCAACATGTTTGGGATAAGCCAAATGTGAGTCAGCCTTGCTTGTTATTATGACTGATGTACTCCCTGACTCCTAAACCAGCCCAATAAGATGGGTCAGTCCTTTCTGACAGTAGTTTCCCCATGATGTAATTACCTCTCACTCAGGCCCACATTGTAAAGATTTTACTATCTCACAACCTAGCCAGACTAGGGACCAAGCTTCCAGTATATTAGCCTCTGGGGGACTCACTTTCACTTTATCTAAATCATACCGATCACAAAGATCCCACATGGTATGACTGAAGTTTGAACTTCTCTATTCAGTGGGGAGCAAAATAATAGAAGAAAGACCTGAACATGCAAACAGTGAGGTGGCCACTATAGTGGCAAGAATAATAGGGCATGGACTGGCTTAGTGTAATGTATAGAAATGAGAGTGTAGAGTACATACTGTTCATGCCTAGCTGCCTACTACCTTCCACCAAAGACATACAGAATTAGGATGGGGCATACTTTTGGTAGACTCTTCTTTAAATATGTGCTCATAATGTACTTGGGTTTTAATGAATTTTAGTGGAAACCTCCTGTGTTTACTTTTAATTACAGGATGTGATTTTTAAAAGGTAAAATTGATTGTGATTCAAGTCAGTGTCATTTTCCACTGCATGCTGAAGCTTTTCTTTTCTCTTTAAAATATATTTTTTGGTTATCTCTATGTAGTTGGTACAAAGGGGCTCAAATTCAACGCAGACAAAGCTTTTCTTTTGTTTGTTGGTATTGAGGCTCAAAGTCAGGACTTGGCTGCTATCCTTTAGCTTTTTCTTGCAAGACTGGCACTTTTGTCACTAAAACTATATTTCCCCTTCCTGTTTTTTCTTTTCAATTAGAAATAAGAGTCTCCTGGACTTTTCTGCCCAGACTGGCTTCGAACTGTGATCCTCAGATCACAGCCTTCTCAGTAGCTAGAGTTGTGTAGGTATGAGCCACTAATGCCCAGCTTTGGCCAAAGCTTTTCATTCTCAAATAGCATGATTTTGCAAGGTGATCATGCCCACTATAATCAATTTGAAAGGCTTATGAGTTAGTTTAAAAAATGACATGTCTTTAAAAGGATTGCAGTGTGCATTGGGGTTTTAATTACATGTTATGTATTAGCCTCTTTTTTTGGTTTTGTTTGTCAGAATTTAAGACAAAAATTTAAATAATGTAGTTTAGAGAAGCCTAATTTTTTTGTACCATGAGCCAATACTTTAACCAAGAATAAGAGGTCTGAATGAACTTTGAAACCACATCTCTTTGTGTTGGATAGGGAGACAATTGAGGCACAAGCATCAGTAAAAACCAGTATTCATTTTGTTTTCTGACCTAGTCTTACAATGTTATTCAGCCAAAAGTTAATACAAGAGCCTGTCTGATCTTGAGTGATTGTAAAGACTATGATCAGCATGCTGGTATCTCTTCTGAAAAGGTCTGCTACTGTTATTCTCTGCAAAAGTGTCCAGAAATAAGTACTTGCATGAGACTTTCTCATTTTTGCTGCCCCTTCAAATGATGGGGTTTTTTGGGGGGAGGGAGGGGAGAAAAGACAATGGGAAATAAACCCCTTTCTCATTTGTTGGCTCATGATTCTCAGCATTTAACATTTTAGAGGCATCACTAAATTAGGGTTGGACATTTTATTGTATTCATTTTTTAAAGCCCTACTGAGGTTTCTGTATGGCCTTAAATAGCTTAAAGTTTTAAGAACATGTGCCTTGTATCTGAGAACAAAAACTGTACTTCATTAGTGCTGAATATCATAAATTTGGTTAAAATTGATTTTAATAATTTTAGTGGCATCATTATTTTAAGGACTGGACTATGGTATAAAGTTTTTGATTTAGCCTTTTGTTTAAGTGACTAAAATATTTGTTTTTTTTTTTTCGTGCAGATTTGAGTTCTGTGAACCTGCATTTGTGGTTGGTAATTGCCTCCAGATAGCATCTGATAGTCATCAGTATGACCGAATTTATTGTGGAGCTGGAGTCCAGAAAGACCATGAAAACTACATGAAAATCTTACTAAAAGTTGGAGGCATACTTGTTATGCCTATAGAGGATCAGGTACTTTCTACTGTTCTTTTGCTTAGTATCATAAGAAACAAACCCATTATCTTCAGAATAGAAATTGTTATTTAGTGATTTAAAAGGCATCTTGTAATTTCTAAAGAAGACAATTGTATAGAAAAACCATGAAATAGTCTAGGCAGGAAAGTCTTTCAGACTCCACCTGAAAAATAACTAGCAAAAAGCCATGCCAGAGGTATAGCTTAAAGCATAGAAACTAGTATGAGCAAGCAAGCTGAAAAAGCACGAAGCCCTAAAAGAAATAAAACCCCAAACATGAAACAGACTCTTATTAATTACTTAAGCAAAACAGATATGAAAGCAGTCGTATGGAGCTGAGATGCAGGCTCTCAGTAGCCATCAGCTCCTCACTGTATGAGTCCTTGAGCAAGTGGTTCCTTAGCTTCCTTACCTGGAAAGTGTTAAGTTGAATGAGATCACCTCTACCAGTAGCTTTGGGCCTAGTGTTCTTCAATTCTCTGAACATATTGAAAAGAAGTCTGCTTTGTGCCGAGTTTGAGCTGTTCAACTTCATTAATGAAAGAAGTATATTTCCAAGCTTTATTTGGTACTTTCTATATATATCCAAAAATATTCTTTAATGTTTTATGAGATTTATTAAATTTATCTTTTCTTGCTTTGCTTTGGAATTGTAAACCATCATATAATGTGTTTATAAATATATAAGTGAAATTAATTATTTAGAAAGATCTTTTCAAAAGCACGTTAACTTTAACATTTATAAAAATGCATTTTAAAGAATATTCACATAGCCTCATTTTGAATTACTTAAAACATCTTGAAGTTTGCATAGTAGAGTTAGATTATCCTTAATGACTGACATCTGGAATGGGAACTGTATAGTTCATATATGTTTATATTTAAGTTTATGTCATGTCATTTGTAGCTAAGTATATCTCATCATCACCATGCATTGTACTCTGTATCAAATTGTTGGTCAGTTGCCATAAAGGCAGAATATAAAGATATAATAAACATTCTTGGAAGGGCTTGGGATGTTTCTCATTGGTAGGATGCTTGGTAAAAGGTAAGCAACTGACTTGCCTACCTTATTTTTGTTTGTTTTTGGTTGGTTGTGGGACTTGAACTTGGCTTAGGTGCTGTCCCTCAGCTCTTCAGCTCAAGGCTCATGCTCTACCACTTGAGCCACAGTGCCACTTCCGGTTTTCTGGTGGTTAATTGGAGATAAAAGTCTCACAGACCTTCCTGCCCAGGCTGGCTTTGAACTGCAATCCTCAGATCTCAGCCTCTTGAGTAGCTAGGATTACAGGCATGAGCCACTGGCACCTGACCTACCTTATTAACACCAGAAAAAAAGTTCCCGGAAAAATGTTGCTATTTCTTTTTCTTTAATGACATATTTTCAGTTATTTATTTGTTAGATTGTTTATTTTGAGACAAGGCCTTAAAATCTGTCGTATGCTGTCCTTGAACTCCTGTTTTCACATATTTAAAATATTACTTCCTTGCCAGATGTGAGTGGTTCATGCCTGTAATTCTAGCTATTCAAGAAGCTGAGATTTGAGGATTGCATTTCAAAGTTAGTCCAGGCAAGAAAATTTATGAGATTTTTATCTCCAATTAACCACCAAAAAGCAGGAAGCAATGCTGTGGCTTAAGTGGGAAAATGCTAGCTTCGAGCAAAAAGCTTAGGGACAGTGCCCAGGTCCTGAGTTGAAGCCCCAGGACCTTCCCCCACACACTAATAATAAGTAAGATAAGGTATTATTTCCTTCACATTTTACTAAATAATTTTGCTATGTAATTATACAAATATCAAGTACAGTAATGAGATGTTTTTTAGAATATAAATTAAAGGCACTGAACTTGACAAATTATACACTGAGTTAATTATTTTTGATTGGTATTTGACTTTTTGTTGTTGTTGTTGGTCATGGGGCTTGAACTCTGGGCCTGGGCGCTGTCCCTCAGCTCTTCAGCTCAAGGCTAGCACTCTACCACTTGAGCCACAGCACCACTTCCGATATTTTTTGTGACTTTATGCATACAGGTTGGGGTTATAATTAACATCTAATTGATTACCATCGTGGTAGAGTACAAAGTAAATTATTGGTATAATTATCAAAATATGGCTTTGTTGGATGGGTATCGTGGCTCAGTCTCAGCTACTCAGGAAGTAAAGTAGTAAGGTCATAGTTTAAGGCCAGCTTGGGCATTAATGTGTGAGATCTCATCTCAGCCAATAAAGTTGCACATCTTTCATCCATAACTATATGGAAGGCATAAATAGGGGGTTCATGGTCCAAACCAGCCTGAAGAACTAATTGAAGAATAACTAAAGCAAAAAGGACTGGGGGCATAGCCCAGTACTGCCAAGAAAAAAAAAATACATGTACATGGCTTAACATGCACACTTGCCTAGTCTTACCCAGTGTCCATCTAGATGGCAGTTTTTTCATTCCTTCTGTTAATTTATAATAAATCTTAAATGGAAGTAATTGGTGTTTAAATATAAGTGGTGTTTACTTCTTAATGCTATTTCCCTCAACATAAATTTCTGCCTATAAAGTAATTATACCTTAATCTTTTTTTTCACTCTAGTTAACACAGATTATGAGAACTGGACAGAACACTTGGGAAAGTAAAAATATCCTTGCTGTTTCATTTGCTCCACTTGTTCAGCCAAGTAAGAATGATAATGGCAAACCAGATTCCGTGGGACTCCGTAAGTAGGCTTTGAATTCTTAATTGAATTGTCACTCTTAGTGCTTAACTTACAGGCTGGTGATTTAGTAGACTATGGAAATACAATGAATCAAATTTGCAACCATATATTCAGTTGGTTTCAATAGGGATTTATTCACATTGAACAAAATATAATCCCTATCATATATAAGACACTTAAAGTTTTCTTTATGGAAACCAAAGGGACAGATAAAACAAAAGTGCATTTATTAATTACAGTTTGTGATGTGGAAGAAAATAAGTGGTTGTGGGGAGAAGCATCTGCTTTAACTGGTAAGGCCTTTCTGTGGAGGCAACCTCTGAATTCCAACTGGAATGCTCATAAGGGAACTTGCCACATCAAGATGTCATGAAAACATTTCCCATACAGAGATATCAAAAACAAAACACAAAACACAAACCACAAAACTTTAGGCTTAAAAAAACAGCTTGATAGCTCCTAGACCAGAATTATGATCCAGTGTGTATCTCATATTCATGTAGAAATTGTTTAGGCTATGGAAGATGGCTTCATTGGAAAAATAAAATGGGGTAACAGACCGTGTAAAATCATTTCTTGTACCCAAGGAACAAGCAGATACTGGTAGAGAGAAAACTGGTTGAAGAAAGATAACAGACTCTGTGAGGAATGTGGGTAATAAAAAAAGAGTGGCTGACTGAGTGGTGGTACCATTATTACTATTTGGAAGACTATGTGACAGACTCTGAAAATAGGAAAAAGAGCAGGCACTTCCTTTTGCCCTGCTGTTAAGTCAGTGGGTACAAACCAGCCATGTAATAGAAATATAAACTGAGAATCCTCAACATTAGGATGTCACTTTAAGTTATAGTTGGATGAAAATGAGTGAGGTTACATAAGAGGAGAGATACGGAAGAGGTGTTAAGGTCACACATTTGATCCACCCAATTTGTAGCTAAAACATAAGACATATCAATGAGAGGACATTCCACAGAAGTTGGAGGACAGTATGTAGAGGACCAAGAAAAGGAAGTAGTTACCTTATTGAGTGTATTCAGACCTTTAGAAACAAGAGAACAGTATTAATTGGTTTGGAATATGTCATGGTTTTGTTAACCATGAACTAAATAGAATGTAGCCTTAGAAAGAGTTAACTTTATTTTTGATATTCATTTGTTTCTCCTCTGGTGAGCCATGTGACTTTGGGATCGTTTTTTTTGTTGGGGGGGAGGCGGGGGGTCCGGTCATGGGGCCTGAACTCTGGGCCTGAGCGCTGTCCCTCAGCTCTTCAGTTCAAGGCTAGCGCTCTACCACTTGAGCCATAGCACCACTTCTGGCTGTTTTTCTTTTTGCTTATGTGGTGCTGAGGAATCAAACCCAGGGCCTCAGGCATGCAAGGCAAGCGCTCTACCACTGAGCCACCTTCCCAGCCCATGACTTTGGGATCTTTTAAAATGACTTTGACAAAGCTGAGCACTGATGGCTCATGCCTGTAATCCTAGCAACTCTGGAGGCTGAGCTCTGAGGATTGTGTTTCAAAGCTAGCCCGGGCAGGAAGGTTCATGAGACTTTTATCTCCAATTAACCATCAGGAAACTGGAAGTGGATCTGTGGCTCAATGGTAACATGCTAGCCTTGAGCAAAATTGCTCAGGGATGGCGCCCAGGCTGCAATTTCAAGTCCCATGACTAAAAAATAAAAATAAAATGGCTTTGACAAATTATATGAAGTAATATTTGTAAAGTGCTTAACTTAGTTTGCAGTCTTTAATAATTGCTTAATTAAAAGTAGGGTTAGGGTTTGAGGAAGGTCAGTAATTTCCTTGTCCATGTTCTTACTAATTGAGAGCAGGACTTAGAAATCAGACAGCTAGGAATTGAAAGTTCAGCTTTATTATCAAGCAAATAAATTGATGGAAAAATTTAGGCCTGCATCATTTAATTAGACATTATAACGGGGACTAGCCATCCTCCCTTCAGAACGCAGCCAATGTGTATGAATTGTGGAGCATATGCCAGAGCCGTAGTGACCAGCTACTTCATATACATTCAGACCTACAGCAAGCTATTCCCCCTTCCTAGAGGAAGAATGTAGAGATGATGCAGGACTCAGGGAAGGTGGGGGTTAGGAGAGGCTTGGTGGGAGTACTAAGGAGACATGTTGACAACCCCCAAGGTTCATAATTTCTGACTTTTTATATACTCTACCATTCAGAATTAATCAATATTCCTTTTTGGTCATACTATCAGCTATTTTTTAAACAAAAAATCTCTTATTTCCATTTCCTGAACTTTATTTTGATAACTATTATTTGATAAGCTCAGAGGCACACAGGCATTGTGCCTTTGTGTTCTGTGTTTCTCCTCTAAGGGAATCTTCTTTTGGTCTCACTATGTGTGAATGCCTAGAGTTATTATGTCCCAGTATATTTTAGATCTAGCTTCCATGTATGCGAGAAGACATGCTCTGTTTGCCTCTCTGAGCTTGGCTTACCTCACTTAACATGATGCATTCCAAGTTTATCCATTTCCCTGTAAATGACATTATCCTTTCTAATGGCTGTGTAAAATTCTTTTTTGTATAGATACCACATTTTTTGGATCCACACATCTATTGTAGGACATCTGAGCTGTTTACATAAGTTGGTTATTGTGAAGAGTGCAGTAGTGAACATGGATGTGCAAGTGTCTTTATAGTATCCTGGCTCATTATGTTCTGGGTAGATGCCCAAGAGTGGTATGGCTGGATCATAGGCAAGATCTATATTTAGGTTTTGAGGAACCTCCAGATGGTTGTCCAGAGTGGTTGTACTAGTTTATATTCCCACCAACAGTGCAGTAGGGTTACTTTTCTTCCACATCCCCACCATTTGTTGTTGTTCAACTTCAAATTGTTGGGCAATCTAACTGGGGTGAGATGGAATCTACACACACAAAGAGAGAGAAAACAACCCCCCCCCCAAAAAAACGCAAACCCACAAAGAAATGAGTATTGGGAGGGAGATTCATTTTATTAGAATTATGAAATTTCTGGACTAGAAGGTTAACTAGAAGGTTAACTTTCTTCTAGACCAGTCCATAAAGGGACATATGTTGATTGTTCTGCGACACAGAACTTTACCTAGCACAAAAATCAAATGACTGCCACTGTATGAGTGTTTCCATAAAGTCTTCTTTTGGAGGCCATGTATGTTGATTTCATGGGCATATGAGTTATTTTAGTAGATTATAATGTGCTGTAGTCATTGACTACCTACTTGCCAAAAGAAAGAATAATAGTAGAATAATTCTCCCTCCTACTTTTAAAAAACATTACAATTAGAGTTTATTATGATAACTTTCAATGTGGAAAGTAATAAACTGATGCAATGAAAAATCCTCTGACATACTTTGACTTTGGCAGGGGGATAATGAAATGTCAGTATCATCATTTATAAGTGCACTTCTAGAGTCCCCTGTGGGTTTTTGTTAATCCATCCCATTTAATCTTTGGTTGGCTCATTTTACCTTTCTTCCTCCCTCCCTCCCTTCCTCTTCATTTCTCTTTCTCTCTCATGCTGGTATTTGAACTCAGGCTTCATGCTTACTAGGCAGATACTGTACCACTTGAACATGCCTCCAGCTTTTTTGCTCTAGTTATTTTTGAGGTAGAGCCTTGCTTTTTATGCTGACCAGCTTGGAACATAATCCTTCTATTTATGCTTCTTGCTATAGCTGATCTGATAGGCCGGTACTACCACATACAGCATTTTCTGTTAGATGTGTCTCACAAACTTTTTTGTCTAGACTGGCCCAGGACTTTGGTCCTCCAGATTTCAGCCTTCTGTGTATCAAATGCCCATTGTGTGCCAACCTTTGAGTTAAGATGAGGTCTTGTGAATTTTTCTTTCAGTTTATGAGCCACAATTCTGCTATTGCCTCCCAAATAGAGCTGTGGTCATGCACCACCAGCACCTGGCCCAAGTCACCTTTTTTTTTTTTTTTTTACATGATTTGTGTTTGCTATTTCTCATATGACCTCCTTTAAAAGAAAAAAAGATTTTTTTTTGTTGTTTACCTTTTTTCTGCTCAAACATTGTCAGCTCTCTGAGTACAGGGACTTTTCTAGTCCAAATCACTCATATATCTTAAGGGGATTCTTAAGTGCTTAGGCTGTTGAACAAGTCAGCTGTGAGAATGTTGTCATTTAGTGAACAGTTTTGGAAGGAGGAAGAGCAGGCAACATTCTGCATGTTTTAACATATAAGAAACAAGATGACACAAAACTAATTAATAGCAGAAGCAGGATTTGAAATTACATTCTTTTATAGTACTTCAATTTCTACTCCATTTAGTTGAGTGCAGTTTCAGACAAATAGTAAAACAGGTTCTAGCCAAACATACTCAGTGGATCTTTTATTTCTATTTCAGGTTTCAGTAGAGGATTAGCAAAAGTAAAAGCCAGTGTAAAGTAGTTGTTTGTACAGGGCTACTGGGTAGCTGCTAAATCTTTGAATTAGGTTTAAAAGCCTCCTACCCCAAAGTTCCATGAAAAACTATTTTCTACTGCAAGGTATGCAAGGTATACTGAGAAATGCACAGAAAGCCTATTGTGGGACTGGTGTAGGTGATGCCCTGTTAATAGCCTGTCCCTACAATTCCTTTCCTCCCTGAGCTCACAGTCTAAAGGAGAAGACGGCCCATACACAAAGAGGAGAATTTTACATGTTATAGCCAGTTGTAAGGGGCCATCAGAAAATACAGTACCAAAAGTGAAGAGATCAGTATGTAAATAAAAAATTTAATGCTGCTTGAATGAGCAGGGTTTTATTTTGATTTGTTTATCGTTACATATTTGAAAAAGATCCTTGGTTATAGTTTTATTTCCATAGAGATGGAATCTAGGCAAAATCAATTTCAGGTAGAGTACTGACAATCTATTTATGTGTTAACTGTTGGGGCAGGGTACAAAGAAGAGTTTGTGCTTTTAGGGAGATAGGAATAAAGCAGACAGGAGAGCTCCCCCAACTATAAGATATGTTTGATGTAAGTAAACAGAATTAGCTTAAAAAATATGTTGTTTCTGTAGGTTATTGTGTTTTTGTTTTTTTTTTTGAGTCCGGTCGTGGGGCCTGAACTCTGGGCCTGGGCGCTGTCCCTCAGCTCTTCAGCTCAAGGCTAGCGCTCTACCACTTAAGCCACAGCGCCACTTCTGGCTTTTTTTTGCTTATGTGGTGCTGAGGAATTGAACCCAGGGCCTCGAGCATGCAAGGCAAGCGCTCTACCACTGAGCCACCTTCCCAGCCCTAGGTTATTGTGTTTATTCTCAGCTTGCTATCTGGTGTTCCTTTGCCATGAACCAGTTCTACTTGTTTATTTACAAAAAGACCTTGTGTGTGTAATGGCTTTAGAGGTCTGACAAAGGCAACTATTCAAATTCTGTGCCTGTGTGTTTTTTCTAAATAGTCCTTTTCATATAACTTAAATAGTATAAAAGGATGTGCAGAGTAAAGTCATTTTCCTATTCTTGTCCCAAACATTTTTGTCCTCACGTTCCTTGCTTTAAATTCTATGTACCCTAACAGAGAATCTTAATGCATGTAACATGGCTATATAGACACACACACACACACACACACACACACCCCTTTTTTGAGCTTTTTATTTTTCTTTATTTATTAATAAACTTATCAATCTATTATTTATTTTGTAATTCTATAATTATTCATCTGTTTATATTAATTTTATTGTGATTATTATGGTGTTGTACAGAGGGGTTGCCATTTCCTACGTCAGATAATGTACATTTCTTCTTTGGACAATTTCACCCTTTTCTTTCATTTTCACCCAGTTTCCCCTTCCCATCCCTGCCCAAGTTACATAGTTCATTTTCCACCAGTATACTGATAGCATGATTGCATCTGTTCCTTTTAGCCTCTGTTCTATCCTCAATTCATGGAATGTTGTTTAGAATGTATATAATAAGTACCTAAAAGTCAGTTTTTAGAGTTTTTGGTTTTTCTACAGTTTATTATGGAACGCATTTTGGTTTTGTTTTATGAAGAAAAGAACAATGTATAATATTTCTTTTTGTTTGTGTTTAGCCCCTTGTGCTGTCAGGAATCTACAAGACTTGGCCCGCATTTATATTCGGCGTACACTTAGAAATTTCATAAATGATGAGATGCAGGCCAAGGGGATTCCTCAGAGGGCTCCACCCAAGAGGAAAAGAAGGAAAGTCAAACAGAGAATCAACACTTATGTGTTTGTGGGTAATCAGCTTATTCCTCAGCCTCTAGACAGTGAGGAGGATGAAAAAATGGAAGAAGATAGCAAAGAAGAGGAAGAGAAAGATCACAGTGAAGCCTTGAAGCCAGAGGAGCCTCCTCAAAATTTACTAAGAGAAAAAATCATGAAGCTTCCCCTCCCTGAATCTTTGAAAGCTTACTTAACATATTTTAGAGACAAATAACTTAAATCAAGAGAAAAGAATGCCTACTGATAATTCCTTTAGTCTTGAAAATGTAGCAATTAGTAGGAGTTTTAAGAGAGAGAGTTACTTCTTTCATAAGAGTGAATTGTAGTAGAAAAAAAGTATAACTTGTTTCTGTCAGTAACAAAAATGATGTATTCAGTGATTTAAGAGTCTTTTTTCTAAAATCTATTTTTCTTTAAACCTTGGGAAAATGCTGTTGTAACTCAGAGTGATTTCAAAGTGGAATGCAACAACACTTAACACTTTGTCTACCATAAAGCCCTTTCTGATTCCTTACAGATTTGTAGTGGTGAGGGTTAGATTTAATTTTATATAAGGTTTAAATAATTGTTAAGTATAATATAACTTAATATTCTGATTTGAATTGCAGTTGTTTGCATTTCCTTTAGAAGAATTTTCTGATAGACTTAGTTACCTTACCTTGTTGCAATCACTCTTGTTGAGTTGCTGTAGATATATTCCGGGCAATGTATGAGTGCAATAATAATGCAAGATATTGAATCATTTAGCTTTAAAAAAAACCCACGAACTTCATGAAATTTTGCACCCCTACAACTTTTGCTCTTGCCAAAAGACATGGGGAAAATACCTGCTTCTCTCATAGCGATTTTAAGAGCACAGTAAGCCCATATTGAAGTAGAAAAATGTGTATTTAGTACTACTCCTGATTTGTATGGGCCCTTCACATCTCCAGTATTTAAAATCATGACATTATCTTAAATCTAGAATTTCAAAATTTTCTGTGTTTAGGATTTTTTTCCTGTAGTTCACTGTTTAAAGTATTTAAAAAAAAGAAATCCTTATCCTGCCTGTCTCTGATTGTACAGACAGTATGTAAATGGATAAGCATGAATGACCACCACTTTCATGGGTAGAACCAAGTAGCAGGGCCAAAGCGGTGTGGTCAGTGGATGCACTTTAGCAAATAGGACTCCTACTTTATCTGAGTATTTATCCTTGACAAGGTAGGGGTGAGCTTGCCTATATTTGCTTTGGATCTTTCTAGCATAAATAGTCACAAGAATTGTGTGGAGATTGCTTTGTGTTGCAAATCTGGTTCAGAATTATAGTGTAATCTCTGGGACCGACACCATGTTCACTTAATTTCATCCTGTATTTTTCTATTTCTTTGGTAAAATCATAATAATGTTTTTTTCTTTTCTTTCTTTCGTCTTTTTTTGCTTACCGGTACATACTTAAGCTTCATAGCTTTTCAGTGATAAGACCGGTAGTAAATGCAATTAAATTTTTTCTTCTAGTAAGTCTAGGAACAGTCATTCCTTGTTAAGAAAGTGTATAATATAACATATTTACTATGTAGTGTTACATGGATTATATATATTTTTAAAGGGAAAACTTTGAGTATCAGTACCACCAGCACCACTGTTCTGAAAGCTGCTCATATTTGCTCAAGGAGACTCAACCATTGTAGAATGAAAAGGGTCATTATCTCCTCACTGTTTGAAAAATTTCAGCTCCAATAAATCTACACATCTACGATAGTTGTTTAAAGTAATCTAAACGTAAAATCATCCCAAATAATTGCAAATACTTTAATAATGTAAAAGACAATTTCACACAAGGCATTTGTTTTATACCTGTGTCTGAGGTGCATGTGTGGGGTGTTTGTGGAATTAGGGGAGAGTACAGTTTTTCTTAGATGATTACTAAACTTTTATTAAGAAATGCCTCATATCATTTCGGTCTAAAAGAAAATGTCTTTCATATCTAAGTGTTCATTTTGTTTGGATTATTTTACACTTTTAATAGATCTTGAAAACCTGGGAAGTTTTCCTGTATCTGCCCCCCTCTCCCATTTTATTGTTATTGTTACAGGAGCTGGTGTCAGAATTTGTAAAAAATATATGTTCTTCAATGATGATATATTTAGGAGAGTTTTTATTAAGGATGTATTTGAAAATTGATGTTTCCAGTATTGTCTTTCATTCTATTGACCTTGACAAAATACACAGTAGATTTTCCTGATGATTGCATTTTTTCTCAGTCACTGAAATGTATCTTTTATGTTTTTATGTACATTATTTTACAGGTGTGACTTTATCACTGACTTTAAAAAAAGAGGTAGAATTAAGTGGAAATTCAAGTGAAACCTTTCTTATTAATGCAGATATATTGGAATAAGAATATTTTGGGTGTGTGTTTATTTTTTAATGAATTCATGTTTACTTGAGAATGGAAAACTATGCTTTATAAGTGGAGAAGTAGTAAATGAACATGAAATAAGAGTAAATAAAAGTGATGAGGAATATTGTCTTGGAATTTTATAGACAGATAAAACATTAGCTATCAGGCAGTCTAGGTCTTTATTTTGTAGAAGACAAAGTAGACCTAAAGAGGTGGCATGTTTGCCTACATCATACAGCTAGTTGGAGAAAAGACCTGAAATAACATCTGGCATCAGATAAACCTCAAGAATCTGTTGATGGCACCCTAGCTACCAAGAAGCTAAATGTAGTGCTTATTGGCCAGCATATTGGCTTCTGATTTTAATAAAGAAAACATCAAAGTAGCATACACAATACTTAAAATACAAGATGTGTGTTGATTTCTAGCAGTTTGAGATGATAAAAAGCAGATCCTGTTATATCATTGAAAAACTTGGAAAAATCATGTTAAATAAACAATGACATAATTAAACATCATTCAGTGTTTTTGACTTTTCTTTTTATTAAATATATACAATCTCTCCCTTCCTCCTTCTTCTCCTTCCTTCCTCCCCTCATCTCTTCCTTTCCTCTGCCTCCTCCCTTTCTTCTGTTGGTACTAGATTTTGAACTCAGGGCCTTATGATCTAGCTGTGCTTTCTTTCTCTCAGCTGGTACTCTATCACCAGATCCTCCAGGTCTCAGCCTATTGAGTAGACTACAGGTATGAGTCCCTGTCACCTAGCTCAGACTCTATCTTTGTTTTAGAGTCACCTAGTATATTCTTTTATGTTTAGCCTTTGTTGTGTCCTTACATTTAGATATATTCCTTAGAAATAGCACATGACTGAATATATTCAGCATTCTCACAATCATAATTTAATGATTTCTATTGATTTACATTTTAAAAAATATTACTAATTGGCTGGACACCCATGGGTCATGCCTGTAGTCCTGGCTACTCGAGGGTGAGATCCAGAGGATCATAGTTTGAGGCCAGCCCAGCCACCCATCCCCAAAAAAAGTTTGCTATATTTCCAGCGAAAACCTAGGATGGAGGCATATCTCCAGTGGTAGGTACCAGTAAAACAAGCAAGCTGAGCAAGCACAAACCCCAGATGACCAATAAAAAAAAATATTATTAAATGATTTAGTGATATACATGGCTTTCTCTTACTAATTGATTGATCAATTGATTGATTGATTGTGAACATACTGTACAGAGGGGTTACAATTACATGGGCAAGATAATGAGTACATTTCTTCTCAAGCATTGCAGCCTCCTCCTTTGTTTACCCTTCACATCCCTTCCCAGCCTCCTCCCACCCCTCCACCTAATCCTCCCCCCTCCCCCAAGAAAGTTGTAAAATTCCTTTTTGACATGACAACTTGTACTTCTCTTTGTTGCAACAGGTCCACCTGTATCCTTAAACGACTTGTTTTTCCCCATCTCCTCCACAAATTATACTGACATCAAATATAGTGAAAGCAGGGGTTATACTGTGGGGGAGGGACATACAAAGCAACAAAGAAATAATCTTATAAATGCGTTAGAAACACACATGAAAGAAAAAAAAACATTTAAACACATATCTAAGTGTTCATTTTCCTAACATCACATTATCTGACCTTTTCTGCTTGACTCATACATATACTAGATCTTGCAAATAAGTAAACCATGGGACCTATGTTTCATTGAGCTTGGCTTACTTCACTTCATATAATTTTTTCCAAGCCTTTCCATTTCCTAACAAATGGGGCAATGTCATTCTTTCTGATGGAGGCATAGAATTCC